TAGTTTTTGGTAAACTTTTTATTCTCAAAGTATTAAAATTCAGAAAATTAATTCTTCAAGTTTTCTAAAAAAAAATTCAATTCATCATTCAATATATTAACCAAACAGAAACAAAGTATTAGTGTATGATTTGAAATATTATTATCTGCTAACAATTATGAGTATAGTGTGTTGATTTCATTTGTTTGTATTGATTCATTGTTTGCTCTTTGTAATTGTTTTCATTTTCTATATTCTTTATTATGAAAGAATGATTTAAAATGAATTTTAACAGTTAAATTCTTAATGAATTTGTTGGTAAATGTTATATTCTTTTATTTTTGTTTTTAATTGCCGATCTATGACAATTGATTTTTCAACCTTTATGAAAACAACTTGTAATGATACACGATAGTGAATATTATTTAACATGAAAACAGGGCAATATATTACTGATGTTTACAGTAAAAATAATTTATATTTTTAAAATGACTATATATTTTTATAGTTATGAAGAATTTGTGCGATTTTTTCATAACTTAAAATTAAAGTGAATTTTTATTCAAATGAACTATCATATTTTAAATTAATTTATAAGTACTTATAAAAAGATAGTAATGAATTCTTGTGTTGAATGTGTCATATTTTCATTCAAGTTAATTTATTATCTCTACTATCTGCTTCAACATTATCTATATCACCTTCCTGATGATAGTTAGCAAATAAGCAGATAGTGAGATAAAGTAAAAGTTCAATGAATTCCTATTCCAGTTTTCTAGTCTGCAGTGCAGCAATCTTGTTCGCATATTCAATAGAGCAGAAATAGTTTATTTATTCTTTCTTGAATAAAATGTGTATGTTTATTCATTATAATTTTTTTAATTAGTTTCAAAATAATAATTTTATCGTTGTTTATGTTTCAGCTTGTGATGACTCGAGCGTTTGTTCAGAACCGATCGGAAAGACAGATGAGGAGGTCGACAGGCTTATTACTCATCACAGGGCGTCCCTTGGAGTAAGTTATCCATTTTGATTCCTTATTATATATTTTTTGAATTTATTTGTTGTTGTTTTTTTATCTTCTGAGCATTCTTTTTTGGTTATTATTTTCAATGAAACATTGTAATCGATTAAAAAAGAGGTTTTACACTTACTGATACAGTCTTGGTCATAGAAATTGCATCACACAGTAAAAATTTTATTTTATTTACCAGATTGCCAGAGGTGACCATAAACAAACATTCACAACAACAAACAAAAGCATTCAATGGAATTAACGTTATCAACATAAGAATCAAATGAAATAGGCAATCTGACAAGGCTGTATATTCATTCCAAAAATCAAAAACAGAGATTTACCTACGATGATCCTCTCAAATTGATATTACCATCTGCTGTTTCGTTTCAAAATGATGTATGAAAAAAGTGTCTCTATAGGCTATAGTGCCAAAACAGCTGTAAAGATTTTAATGAAACTTCCTCAGTATTCTCCTTGAAGCCTTTTAAATTTATGTACGTAACTTTCTTCTTCGGAAAGAATCTCAAAAAAAGTTAGAATGAATGCAGAATTTTTCTCCCAAATAATTTTTAAAATACACTCTATTTTTGTGATTTTTATATATGAATATATTATAGGTGAAAAACTTTCCTAAAAGAAAAGAAAAAAAGTACTTGAAAATCGGATCATTATTAGTAAAAATATAACGTTTTTAATGTATTTGTGAATCAGCTTATTCAATCATTATATCGTCATTTCAGGTTCTACCTCCTATTAAAGACTACACATGTATATCAACTTATCAATCACATATAATTCTTTACAAATTTATATATATATATATATATATATATATATATATATATATATATATATATATATATATATATATATATAAACAATTTTTTGTTATAATTAATAATAGTTATGATATAAAAAAAAAAAAATTAAATTGTTCAGAGTATCTACATGGGCAAGTGACATAGTAACATTGGAATTAGTAACAATTACTTTTTTTTTAATGTGTAAATATTTCACACTATATTCCATCATATCTGAATTATTAATGTTTTAGTTTGATTTTGATGAACCATTCTGTTTACTCTAATATATTTCTATAATGTTGTTATTGAGATTGTTATCGGTATAGCTTTGAAAATTAATTATTGAAATTCTTTTCCAGGCGAGGAGTGATTCCTTGGCCTCAGTGTACTCCGGAGCTGGTGAAGGTCGTCATGGAGGAGTCGCTGTCAGGGGAGAGGTGCAGTTCGGTTTGCAATATAATTACAAGCAGTCTTCCTTAGAGATACACGTCAAGCAGTGCCGTGATCTTGCACCCGTCGATACTAAACGCAACCGATCAGATCCGTAAGTAGTTATTTTACCTTTAACAAATAATTTATTTATATATTTATTAAATAATTTACATCTATTGTAATCATTAAAAATATTAATCATTCCATTTTTGTAAAATAGAATACAACATAGTTCGCGCCTCTTGTCCCGCAACTTAAAAATTAGAATCTATAAAACAATTATCTTGCCTACAGTTCTTTATGGATTCGAAACTTGGCCGCTTACATTAAGGGATGAGCAGTGTTTTAAGATTTTCGAAAATAAAGTATTGTGTAGAATATTCGGACCGAAGAAGGATGAGTTAACCGGAGAGTTCAGACGGTTACACAACGCCGAATTGCGTGAACTGTATCCGGGTAATATAATTGAGGTAATTTCATCGCGGCGAATCAAATGGACTTGTAAAGTTGTTGGGCTTAGTAACGAGAGAATTCCTAAGAGGTTAATATTTGCTGTGCCGAATGGTAAACGTACGAGGAGTAGACCGAAGCGAAGGTGGGAAGATTGCATTAAAGCCGATCTGAAGCTACTGGGTTTAGACGGCGAACGGTGGAGGGAGGTGTGTAATAAGTGATTGGTGGTGTCGGTATCGAACGTTCGGGTTCCCTAAGCCTTTTATTATTATGTTATTATAGAATACAACATAATCTTTGTAATGCGAACTTCAGTAGTTTCAATGACCATCCCAAAAAAAGAAATTATAATTTATGTAAAGCTAATGAAAATATTTGTGTGATTTATTGTTAACATTCATGATATTTTTTATCTGTAAGTGGAATTTAATACTACATTACAATAATTATATGCCAAAATTTTATTCTAAAATTTATTGTATTCCTATTATCTTCTTAATATTTCGGTTGTGGAATATATCTTTAATATATTTGTTTTAAACATTTCTTAAGCCCAAAATAATTGTATTTAACAGTTTATAAGAAATATTATATGTATATTAATGTTAATGATGAATCATAGCAGTTTTTCTTTGTATTATGTTTTTACATTCCAGAGGTCATTAAATTTCATATACATTCATGTATGTGAGGTTCAATTTTACATATATGTATATATAGCATTATAATTTAATTGAAATAAATGAATTCTCAAACTCTTTCAATGAACTTGAATAGTGCAGTGGCAATACACTCTATTTTAATTTTTTTAAATTTAAATAAATATTTTTTGTTTTCCAGATATGTTAAGGTCTACTTGCTGCCAGACAAGTCAAAATCTGGTAAACGAAAAACACGAGTGAAAAAGCATACGTTAAATCCAATTTTTGATGAAGTTCTCAGGGTAAAGCCATTACTTATAATTTAATTTTTTTTTTAACTCAAAAATTATTTTAAAATACAATTTCCTTAAATCTAAATGTTTATTATTTTTTAGTTTCAAGTGAATTTGGATGGATTGGAAAACCGTACACTTTGGCTGTCTGTTTGGCATTCTGATATGTTCGGTAGGAATGATTTCCTTGGAGAAGTTCTTATGCCTCTAGAGAATAAAGTTTTTGATGACCCTTTACCAAAGTTCTATACTCTTCAAGAACGAGTAAGTAATTTAAATAACACAGACAATTTAGTTTTTACTGCCGATTCTTATTTTAATAATTTTTAATCATTATAATATTATTTAATTATTTATCTATAAAGTTTATTTGAAATTTAAATCTCAATTCAATGAATTGGCCATAATTCACAGTATAATTTTTTTAAAATATTTTTGTTTAAGTAACATTTTATATAGGAAATTTGGTTCAAGTATTTTACTTTATACTGTTAAAATTGAAATTTATCCCTGAAATAGTAGAATATCACGCAACAAAAATCAAAAACGTGCAATTTCATGCAAAATGAAGTTTCAATATGTTATTTTACATATCATGAAATTGATAGATTGTCGGGTTTGAAGTTTTACACCTTAGCAAACAAGATGTGCAATAACATGAAAATCCCATCTCTACTTATAACTGCATATAATATATGTATATCTATGTCCCAGGAGTAAACGTCACCATTTCCATTTTTTTATTCAATAATTTAGTAACTAAGAAACAAATTTTAATAGCTCAAAGTTATGGAAAATTGGCACCCCTCAACAAATACATAAATGGACGTGTTGTTCTTTATCTCCGGGGTACAGATATAATTTTTATAGAACTTTATTTTTATATGCACATCTGTCACTTACATTGTGATAGTAGGCAGATGTGATATAGATATAATACATGAAATAACATTTTTGTCAGACATGAGGGAAGCATATAGTATTAACTATTAAAATTATTAATTGTAATGAAAATATAATTTTATTGTTATTACAGTCATCTGTAGATATTTATTTAAACACATTGTTTTATTTGACACTATGTATATTAAATTAATTTATGAATAAATAAAGCTTAGGGATTAACACTGTTGGTAAACTCTGCCTTTGGATAAACAAGCAGTAAAAGAGAAAAAAAAAATATTAAATGATTTTTTTTTAAATACTTGACTAATGTGAGCATTTACACTGCCATCATAATTAATTTTTATCCAAAATAAAAAGTCACTATCGTACCAAAGAATAAGCTGCTTTTACTACAGCAAATCTTGACCTGTGAACATATAGAGATAGCAAGGTGCTGACGAAGTGCAAATATCTCAATGATGTGAAGTTAAAAAGAAATTATGTATTACATTTTGTTCAATATCATTAGTCGACAGCACTTTAAATCATCTTTTAATTTATAAGTGTCCCACCTTTACGACGAGTTAAAGTGGCTCTTCCCTTCTTTCCGCAGACAATATTTCCTTGGATCTTTCCTATTCCAAACGATCAATACCCAACACCCTTCCTACATATACACCTTCCTACAGTCTCCTACAGTTTAAACCCGTGGTCCACTCCCAGAAAACAAGATCCCGCGTTTCCGACCTTTACATCCCTTCCCATAGAACTAAGACGTTTGAATATTCCTTTATTGCCCAATCCACAGCCTTTTGGAATTTCTTGCCATCTGATATCCGCCATGCCTCTTCCTTGTCCTCATTTAAATATCATCTTTATCAATTCCTTCTCACATCCCAAAATGACGTTATACAATAAAATAAAACAGATTTTGACTGAGGTAAATGGTTGTTAAAATTGATTGAATTCTAATTTTAAAAATCAACCCATGCTTATTTTATTTTATTTTATTTTCATTTAAATAATGTTTTTTTTACTTTGGTTTTTCTCAAAATTGTGTTATTTTTACTTTGTTTTTTCTCAAAATTGTGTTATTTTTACTTGTTTTAATATAATTTCACTGAAGATACTGTATATATTCTTGAATATTGACTAATGTAATTTTTGGCCAGATGTAGTTTCTATTTATTTTTGTTCATATCTGTTATTCATAAGGGACCTCGTCCCAGAATAAAGTATACTTTCTATCTATCTATCTATAAAAACGCAAAGTTCACTAAACAAAAATAAAACAGAATTTGTGAATACTATTAAAATCTAAATGATCATTTGTATACTTATATTAAATCAAGACATTATTATTTAAAACCTTAAATTAATTACATTTTATTTTATTTTTTAAGGAATATATGAGTGGCCTGATATCAAAGATGGGCATCTGTAGTCCAATTCTAATGACTTTTTTTAAATTAAACTGGAACATTCTTAAATAAAATCATCAAAAACAGTTTGAGTTGAACCTATAAAACAAAAATTTACTTTTCTCCGTAAATGTCAGATATCAGTCTTTGATAAGAAGCCATTTATAAGAATTACATTAATATTAGATTTTTGATTAAATGTACATTAGGGTAAGCGCACCAATGATGGACGTAACTAAGGAAATTTTGGCTTATTCCGCCGTAATTATTATAGTTATAAACTTCTCCATTGAATATTTAGAATCTCTAGGGTTTCTTTTTTATATTTAACACTTTAAAATTGAAAAAATATTCAGTTATGCAGGTATAATCTCCATTAAAAAAAAACAACACCTCTTTGCACTAGTGATGGACACCCCGAAATTCAATTGTTCTAGTAATGGACACGGGGTCGGTACCAGTAATAGACATACCTCAGAAAAATTGTAAAATCTTCATTTAACTATATATAAAACGATAAAGATAAGATCAATGTTCAACTTTCTCTTAGCAAAACTGGTAATAGAAAGATATGAAACACACTGAGCTCAAGAGCAATATAAAAACAACAACGATAGGCATTTTAAAATTTTCTTTTGGGAACTTTGTTCATGCAGTTATTAATAGAGGGCATTGTTCTTCAATATAGAAAAAGCTGGAACCTTTAAATCAACAAGGAAGCTTATTATTTACATTTAAAGTCCAACCTGTCCATCACTGAATAGAATGATGAAATAGAATAAATTAAAAAAAAATAACTATAAAGATTTATTAATATCTGTTTTTTTAAATAATATATTTATTTTATTTTTATGCAGTCTGAAACCTTAGAAGAACTTAGCTCTAAAGGTGAAATTATCATTGGGCTGAAGTATGAACCGCCAGATGAAAACTGCCCCAAGAAGAAATCCAGGGGCGCTTTACATGTACTTATCAAAGAAGCTAAGAATTTACCTGCTTTGAAAAGTAACATGTCATCCGATCCATTTTGTAAAAGGTATCTTATTATTATTATACGATTTATTAAATTAATTAGAAATAAAATTTATTTATTATAAATAAGTAGTTATAGGATACTCATGCGAGAACTCTCACATTAGATATCTTTCCTTCTTCTGTCTAATAAATTCAAAGAAACGTATTTATTCGTATAACCATATAATATTATGAAGAAAGTCTATTCAAGACATAATTGTATTGAATTAACCAGATCATAATCATCATTGAAGTAATCAGATACTTAAAATAAATACAGATAAGACAAAATATATGGTTAGGTGCAAAAACGGCAAACATTTTGGTAATATCGATATAGAAGGGAATGCATTGAAACATGTAGAGAAGTTTAAGTATAATAGAATCTTTAATAACAAGATAAAGCAAGATGTAAGAGGAGATTAAGGTTGAAGGCGGGAAAAGTTTGTTATTTTTCTGTAACAAAACTACTTACCTCTCGCCTCCTGTTGTGAAATTTAAAAATTAAAATTTACAAAACCATTATTCTACTAACAGTTCTTTATGAATACGAAACGTGGCTAAAAATATGAAAACACGAAAATCAATACCGGGTCCCGATAACTGAAGAAAATAAGAAATCCAAGAATATAAGAAGAAAAATAGGATTAATAGTCAGTTAATCTCGGAGAATCATTTTCTTCTACTCTTCCCTCATTTGCATATTAAACATGAATATTATAAATTGCGTAAATGATAAAACCTTGGTTAGTTTCAATTATAATTTAAAAATAACCTTTCTATAGCAAATGATGTTAAAATACAATTCTTAATACATTATACATACAATCCGTTATATAATTATTGATGGCAGTATAGATACGATACATTTCAGTTAAATTCCTACAAACAATTTTTATTTGTCTAAATAATCTCTTTTGTTTCTCTTAGGCCTTTGGTAATAGAAAAAAAGGTCAGTAAATTCACTTTGAATATAACATTAAGAGATGAACATGGTTTTAAAGTTTTTGAAAATAAAGTATTGCATAGAATATTTGAACTGAAGAGGGATGAGTCAAACGGATGATTTAGATGGTTACACAATGCCAAATTGCTTGATTTGTTGTTTTTATTGGATTACCCAATATCTCGCCATTTCCGGTTCTAGAGGTAGAACCAAACCTATTCTAACCAGATATCCTCACCAAGATAAGTCTCTTTCACCAAGGTACAGATAGAGAGAGAGGCAGCGAGAATTATAGTATCCTTCAAAGTACTTAGATCTTTTCATCTTTCAAAAATACCTGAAAGATATTTCAGGCGCACGCTCCACTCTCACATAAATTTCATTTTTTTGGTCCAAAACTCTGATAATAATAAATATAAACGTATGTATTTTTAGAAGGTCTATTGAACAATTTGGATTTTAAATATTAAATATTATTTTAAGGCACCCAGTTTGAGAAACCTTGGCATATAGTAGGTAATAATAGTATACTCCTTGATACCTATTGCATTACTGAAAAAGATTTGGGACGAATAATATAAAATCTTCCTCCCCCTCAATCATTTATAGAAACCTAAAAATCTTAATAATGAGATATGATAAGGTTCTCATAGTAGTCTTGGCACCAGATTGGCTATTGCTAGGATCGGGGTGGACCTGTGAGTTATATGAAAATTGTCAATTTAAGGACTTTAAATGCAGAACTTAGAAAGATTGGTACTCCTTAAATAGCGGGTTGGGACGAAACCTCCCTCGTTATCTTATGTTACATCACATAACCTCCTTTCTTATCTGGAGTTATTCCATCATTTATTTTTGTTCCATTGGTGTGATTTTTGTCAAATTATATTACATTGTGGGAATTGCTTCGTCTTCAGAAGAAGAGTCTATCAAATGTTTTCAAGATTCTGGTATAATTCTTTTGTTATTATTTCATTTATTTTCATCTATTTAATATATATGTTGTAAAATAAAAGTATTTAATCAAACTGTTTTGTTATTATTACATTTATTTTCGTCTATTTAATATATATATATAGGAATTATATATGTCATCTATTTAATATATATATTTTTTTATTATTACATTTGTTTTTGTTTTTGTTTACAATTTCAATATGTATATAATACAATAAATATGATTACGAAGATAGGAGTTAACAATGCCTTATCAGAATTATCAGTGTTAAGGTTGTAAACATTGGCTGGCAGATAGCAGTCGGACTTTAAGGAGTACGGAAAGATCATTCAACTAAGTCTTGATATCTGCATCAAAATCTTCAAAATCAGGCTTGTGGTCTCACCTTTTGTCGTATTGCTCTTTGACGCGGCAGGAAGAAAATAAATAAAGTCTCGATATGCCAACTTACCTCTGTTGAAGTTTTGAAATTACCTACATTTTTCAACCCCCTTTTATTAAAGTGATAGTAAAAATTTAGGAATCGAAATTGGGATTTGGTACTTCTCTGTGAAATTTCTTTTCTTTTGAAACTTTGTTTTCCAAATTCCATTGCTCCTGAAAAAGGAATCTGTACTATGGAATTGTCTAGTATAGTAGATATTAGATTATAATTTACAATTTATAATCATTAATATTTTTTGCACTTATCTTATACAATTGAATATCAGCATTTACTGACTAATAATATGTGTAATATTAATAGAAATATCGGGGAGGGAGGAAGAGATATGAAAATATTCATCTTAAACTAATTACTTCTTTTTTTTATAGCTACCTGTTACCAGACAAAGGAAGATGGTCTAAGCAAAAAGCACCTGTCATTAGGAAGACGTGCAACCCGATTTGGAACCACACATTTTCTTATCAAAATGTCAGCCTACAAGAGTTATCAGAGAGGAGTTTAGAACTCACTATCTGGGATCATGATCGTCTTTCAAGCAACGAATTCCTCGGTGGCGTGAGGCTCAACCTTGGAACAGGTATGCTCGTGTAAAAAATAAATTAAATTTATTTATTATTTTCTAATATCAGCTTAAAAAGCCATTCACATTTTGCCATCTCGATTAAATTACGTGAACAGTTAAAAAAATATAATTTAAAGAGTATAATTTAAAAATGTTTACATTTTGGAGCTTCTAGAAGGTTTCAATTATCGACCATTTAATTTTTAAAATTTAAATTACTGCATAAACAATTAAAAATGCTGCAAATTATTTCACAATGGTTTATGATCTCCAAACAATTATACATCTAAAGTAACATTACCTTCCGAGTTACAAAGAAAAATAAATAAAAGGAGATTCCAATTATTGGACTAAACTTGTTTTTTTTAATCATTAGTAATATGCTAAAAAAAAAAATAGCATTACTTCAGTAACACATTCAAAATTTAAAAACCAAGGATATAACATTTGGAGTAGAACATATAAAAAAAAGTGGAGACCATATCTTTGCTCCTAAT